CTTTGTGCCTTCAGGCTTAATTCATTCTGTCTCCTGCAGTAATATTCACCGAGGGAAGTGGAAACTATAGTTTTTTCTTCTTCTCCTCTTATAATATTTTCTGATTCACTTCGTTGCGGGAACCAAGACAGTTACTCATGTCCCTGGGACGCGCCGGACTTCAATGTTCCGGTGTTTTCATGGTTGTATCTACTGTAGATCCTGGCTTACAGGAGATGCAGCGGTTTTGGGAGGTTGTGGCGGGCTTGTCCCATTAAATAACCTCACTCACACGACGAAACACAACGCAAGCGTTGCTTCACGTCGGTTTTCTGTGAGGCCATGGTATCACTCCGGTCGAGCCAGCCCATTCGTGACGAAGCATGGCTTTCCCACACATAAACAGTGAAAAGTGGGTGTTACATTGTACAGTGGTATAATGTGCACCTCTGCCTACCCCTTCGGGGGTAAAAGGCGTGATGTTATGTTGTCTACGCTTTGTTAAACTGCTTTAAAATGTGAAAAGTATTCTCAATCTGGCTTTTTGATATTAGTTTCAATACAAATGTTACGAAATCTTCCTAAATGTCTAAAGTATAGCCCACTGACCAGTCTTCTTCATGAGTTCCTTCCAATGTCTCTCGCGCATGGCTTCGTTCTTGAGGGACACCATCAATGGCACCACACCCTTGAACTGCCTCATCTTCAAGTCCAGCATCTGACCGCTTGGAGTTTGACGAATGATTTTCGGCAGTTTTCTAAAGAAAGGTGTTTATGAATTAATTAACATATTTGTAGTAAAAGTGAGCAAATCTGTAGAAATTATTATTAAAAATAATTATTGAAATGGCAATTTCTAAAGTTTTTAGTTAACCTCGGCGGATCGTTGATCGTAAAACATAACATAGCCGCTTATCATCAGGCTTGGGACGGACCATGGACCTCTGAGTTTGTTTCGGCATTTCTTCTCAGAGTATGTAGTCAGGAATGTTAGTTAGTTAGTTAGGAAATGTCAACCTCATCGTTCGCTTGATAAAATTGACATGTAAAAGTGCTGTCTTGTACCCTATTTGCAGAAATACATTCATTGTTTCACTTGTAGAAATCAAGAATTGTTGTTCGGATTATCCTTGGTACTTTAGCAAAAACTAATCATGTCTATATATAAAAATGAAACACTTTTTCCCTTAGTCACGTCATCACGCGTGAGTGGCTGGACCGATTTCATTAATTCTTTTTTGTTGTATTTGTTATTATTAGGAGAAGGTTCTTAAGACAGAAAAAATACTGAAAATCCTACGGGGACGGGAGGAAACGGGATTGCGCGTACGAAGTCGCGGGCAGAAGCTAGTATATATATATATACTTAACAAACAAAATGTTCTCACCTGAATTCCTTGAAGAACTGCTCAATACCATCAACAAGGGCCTGTGGGTTCAAATTGGTCCATAGAGTTTTTGCCCATAATTCCCTTGCGTATTTCTGTGCCTTGTATATCTTGTATATTTGCTCCATATAACCGAAGTCAGTCCTCGCTCGGTTGAAGTTCGAGAAGTCCGCTAAAGGATTGTCGAAGAGTTGTTCAGCCGCTTGTAACAACTTTTTACGATTCTCAAAGTCATCGAAGTATTTGCTGTATTCCTGCAATCAAGGAATCACTTTTTTATCTTGTTCGCCGTCGTAACTATTGAGTTGAAAGTCCCAGAATCAGTATAAGTATTTTAAATTTGCGCGGGCCTGCGGACGGCGAGCATGGGTGGCTCCCCGTCCGACCAGAAACAGACCCGAGCGTACGGCGCCGAGCGTTCCGCGCGCGCCTCAAAGAGCCATCAGACCACCACAGATGGGGCCCAATACGGCCGATGCCGATTCGGAGTCGCAGAGAACCTAACGGGTTACCGGGGCTCCGACTCGACGTGCAGGAGAAGGAACGGGGTGGTTTTTAGTCAGTAAGAGTCTGACACTCCCTCCCGCCTCACCCAGGCGGGAGCAGTCATACGATGATTTTCCCCCCTTAAAAAAAAAGTATTTTAGTACGAATTTTATGGTATGGGATTAATAACTATGCCACATAGTTGGTAACGACTCAAAATCTATTTCAATAACATTTGGCATATATACGTGGAGAAATATGAGATAAGTTTATAGAAATATTAATTGGTTCACCGCCTGCAATGCAATCAGTGACGCCTAGAACACCAGAGGCGTTACACTTGTAATTCCCAAATGACCCGTAATGCATTTGTTACCGGGCTGTTGGGGATTAGTATAAGATTAATTTGAGTTTTTTGTGAGACCGTGCGGTCGAGCCGGCCCATTCGTACAGCAGCATGGTTTCCCATGCTTAAAATTAAATTCAACACAAAATAAAATATGTAACGTAACTGAAATAGTCGCATGTGTTGTATGTACCTATAAGGCCGTATGGGGTTAGGCCGTATAGGTTTCTTAAGGGTTGGCAAAGCGCATGTAATGCTCCAAGTATTGCAAGCGTTCATATAGGCCGTGGCCTTGCCACTTAAACATCAGGTGGGGTGCGTGCTTTTGTGTCACGATCGTGGTATAAAAACATTTAAAAAATTTGACTGCCTCGTTGGCCGAGTGTCTCGAGTTCGATTCCCGGGTCGGGCAAAGTATTACTGGGTTTTTCAAAAATTCTCAGTAGTAGCACGGAGTCTGGAACTGTGCCCAGTATATAGTAATAGGCTTACCCCCTATTACATGGGACTCATAACATAAATATTGAAAAGTGGGTGTTACAGTGTATAGTGGTATAATGTGCACCTCTGCCTACCCCTTCGAGGATAAAAAGGCGTGATATTATGTTATGTTATTTTTCACTGTAAAGAATAATCTCACCTCAATGAGCAACAAGCCCCTGTCCATATCATCTCCAACGGTCCCAGGACCCTCAGCATCGAATTTCTCCACGAACTCGTCGAGCTCTCTCAAGAAGTTCGCTATCTCTATAACATTCATCTTCGAGAACTTTTCTTTAGTCTTCTCTAGAGTAGCTGCACGGAATAGTGTAGTTTGGTACAGACTGCCCCAGGATGATTCTAAATTTTTAGCGAATAGTAGATCTTCTTCGGATACCTGTGGGTTGGTCACGTCAAATCAGCGTTACTTCTACATACTATCGGATCGCTCGATTCCAATGGTTGAGGTGTACGTGTCATCATATGTGTGAACGGGCGTCGTCAACTGGGACTGGTCAGCTCCAGGTTGCATTATTTATTGTCTTTAAAGTTTGTTTTTTTCTTTTTCGATCTCTTTGCCTGCATTTTGGTGTTACATTGTTCTCGCACAATACAAACAACAAAACTATGTAACTAGAGTATTTTATTGTGAACCTGATTGGAAAAGAGTAACCTATGGAGTCTCTTGCTCGTTCTTCTCCATAGGAATGAGCAAATAGCTTCACTTTAATTTTTTTGTTAACGTTTAAAAGTGCCTTTCTGGTCCAATTTAAATAACTGTTGACTTTGACTTTGGTTATCAGGGAAATAAAACACGTAACTTATAATATGTTAATAATAACAAATGCTGCTTGCTTGATATTGATTTTTGTGACCACTTGGCGACAAACCAAGCGAGAATATTGCCCTATTCAACAGACTTCAAAACAGGGTTCACAGTTTGACATGAGGCCTTAGTACGAGTTTATTTTACATTGAAAGTAATCGAAATGAGACTGCTTGCACTCCGATTGGTTAGTTCATTGATGCCGACCAATCAGAGCGCCGAACGCGTACTCGTTATGATTACTTAAAACGTGAAACTAACTTGTACTAAGGCCTCTGTGTATAATATGTTTGTGCGCGATTATCTCGCGATTGGTTAAACCGATTTTGATGCAGTTTTCAGAAAAGTGTTTGTTATCTACACTTAGGAGAAGGTATTAGAATATAAATTAACAGACTTCAAAAAAGAGGGCGTTGTAGTCGGGTTTTTTAATCTGTCGTGTGCCGGAACAGAATTCACGCGAGACACAATTTATATTCTATTGTGTCTTATACACGAGCAGTCAAGGGGTTAAACGCATTTTATAAAAGAATTATTTAATCTAATGTCTTAGTATAATAAGGGACAAGTTTCTTTACTATCTATAGGAAATTTTAGTAAACCTTCTTCTAAACAAGATATTCTCCTCCTTTTTTGCGACCTAGCAATATGATGTAGGTATGTCGTCTGGAACACATCAACACATTATTCTACATACTTACATCAATATTATGTTGTCTGAGCATGTGGAATATCTCCTGCATGTTCTTGTACTTGCATTCTGCCGTGATGGTCATCTGCTGCACCAGTGTGATGGTTGCCATCACCAGCTTGAAGTCTTCCAGACCTTTGATGTTCATGTTGACTGTCATGCGGAGACTCTGCAAGTATTTATGATATTTTTGATGAAGGATTCAGGATTTACCTTGCATGTAACTCGTTATTATCAGTAATTTGATTATGAATTTCAGGATGATTTGATCGCCATTTACGTAAATTAAATTGAGCAGAAGATATAACCGTTTTTTCTCTGAAAGTGACATTGTAACGGCGAAGAAGTTGTTGTTCGAATCCTTGCCGACAACAAAACGTAAGATAACGCGGAGAAAGGCGGGGAAAAATGCTCGAGACATAGACGACATCATTTGTCTGATCCGAGATACGGACCCCGAGGATATCCCAGTCTTCGTGGCCCGTGATCTTGAGAAGTTGCCCCCGGTTCTTTTCGACCATGTTGACGTGACGAGGCTGCTGAAAGACATTGTCAAGCTACGCCAAGATCTCGATATGATGAAAGAGGACTATGCTACAGTTAAGCAGATGGACCAGCTGAGAAATGAGGTGCAGCATCTTTCATCAGGATGGTGCAATGTAAACCCCAGAAGAGGTGCCTATGTGACGAGACTCACAAGCTATGAGTGCGATAGTGGACCCATGGGATTGCCGCTAGAGTGTAATAAAGGCATTAATGAATACTGTCAACAGCAAACTACATCAAAATCTACACCAAAATGCAATATTCAAGATATTTCCGAGCGTATGATATTAGAGGGTAGAAGTGAGGCATCGCGGCAAAATAAGCAAAGCGATACGACGGTGCATGGTGAGGCCGGTGAAGTATCGCCATTGCCCCTCTCACCGATGTCGTCCCCCGCGACGAGCGGCGGTTGCGGTCCCCTGCTCCCCGCCCCGCTACCTGTGCTATCTAGTCCGGCCGCCAGTACTACGCCGCTACAACCACCACTCGACTCGGCTGTGGGACACACGGTCGACAAAAATGGACACGGGCCTATCGCACACAAGCAGAAATCGATGGCGGAGATTGTTCGAGAGGGGAATTGGAAGACACAGGCGCCGAGTGATCAGTGGATTCGTGTCCAAAACAAAAGATCACGAAATCGTTTCATTGGAAAGCGAGGAAAAGCAATCCTTGACCCTGCGAGTAACTTTATGGCGGCAGAAACTAAGGTTCCTATGTACATATATAATGTGGCGAAGGGCGTGACAGTGTGTGACATTAGTACCTACATTATGAAAAAAACTAACATTGAGGTTAAAATTGAAAAAATGACTATGAAGTTAGCGAAGGATTATGAATCATATAAAATATTTGTACCTAAACATTCGTTAATAACTTTCATGAGCGATGATTTCTGGCCAAAAGGGGTGGCCTATCGTAGATTTATAAACATTATTAGACATGAAAAGGCAAACGTCCGTGTGACTAGCGAGAATATTAACAGCTCTAATCTATGAATGACATCAATTTGATAAGTTTTAACTGCAAAAACGTGATAAGATCAGTGGAATGTGTGCGGAAGCTTTGTCGCTCAGCTGATGTTGTGGCGCTGCAGGAAACATGGCTACTACCGCACGACCTCGGGTTCCTGGCTACGATAGATGACGACTTCGCCTGCACGGGTACCTCTGCAGTGGATACCGCGGCAGGAATGTTACGCGGTAGGCCCTACGGCGGGGTTGCCCTGCTGTGGAGAAAGGTTGCGTTTCCAACGGTAACAGTAGTGAAGTGTAATAGTGTGCGTCTCGTTGCGATAAAAATCGAGCTCAGTGAACGTTCCATTTTGATATTCTCTGTGTATATGCCTACCGAGTCCAATGATAATTTAGTGGAGTTCACAGAGTGTCTCAGTGAAATGACAGCCATAATTGACAGTCACAATGTGGAGTCGGTGTTTATGTTAGGGGACTTCAATGCGCACCCGGGTGAGTCATTTGCTATTGAACTCTTAACCTTTTGTGAGGAACAATCGTGGTCGTGTGTGGACTTGGAGCTGATGCCGTCGGACAGTCATACATTTGTCAGTGATTCGCACGGCTGTCGACGCTGGCTCGACCACTGTCTTGTGACCAATGCCGCGCGGCAATCTGTGTCTGCGGCTTCTGTATTATATAATACCTATTGGTCAGATCATTACCCAGTGTCTATACTATGTAATCTTAATTTAGTTGAGCCTAAGATTAGTATACCTACTGGTTGTATAAATAGGATAGTTTGGGGTGAACGTGATTCGTTGCAGATAGCGAAATTTAAAGATATATGCCAGTCGAGACTTAGAGAAGTTGATTTTCCTTCAGAATTAAGAAACTGCTCAGATAACTTGTGTTGTAATAAAAGTCATAAAATCTTGTTAGATAACATGTACGACGAAATAATTTGTATATTGTCTGAGGCTGCTATATGTAGTTATAATGACACGGAAAAGCGTAGAGGTAAATACATTACTGGTTGGAACAGGCACGTCCGCGGCGCTCATGGGAGGGCTCGGCTATGTTTTCAGGCGTGGTTGATTGCGGGTAAGCCCGGGGCTGGTCGTCTTTACGATGATATGTGTGAATCTAGGCGCGTGTTTAAATCTAAGTTAAAGTGGTGTCAGAATAATCAACAACAGATAAAAATGGATATCATAGCGAAACTACACTCAAACAAGAAATTCGGTCAGTTCTGGAAAAACACCAATAAAATGAATCATAAGCCGGGCCTCCCCGTGAGCGTAGCGGGAGTGCATGAGCCTAGTGAGATCGCCGCTATGTTCTCCCACCATTTCAGAGCAGGCTCTCCTATGGGGCTAGCGCGACAGGAGCCCGATGTTGAGGAAAGTAGTATACGTAGTGTTTATTTTACTACGAAGGAAGTGCGTACGGTGATCAGAGGCATGGTGAGGGGTAAATCCCCGGGTCACGACAGCCTTAGTATCGAGCACCTACAGCATGCAGGTGTACACCTGCCCAGGGTTCTTTCTATGTTTTTTACCTTGTGTTTAGGTCACTCCCACCTACCTGATAATTTAATGCGTACTATAGTTGTACCAATCATCAAAAATAAAACTGGTGATACATCAGATGTAAACAACTATAGACCGATCTCTCTGGCCACAGTGATCGCCAAAGTACTGGACAGTCTGCTTGGTCAGCAACTGGATAAACACGTCTCGCTAAGAGACGCGCAGTTCGGCTTTAGGCCTGGGCTTTCTACCGAGAGTGCTATTCTGTGCCTCAAGCAGACTGTACGGTATTACACGACTAGGAGGACCCCAGTATACGCTTGTTACCTTGATTTATCGAAAGCATTCGATCTTGTATCGTACGATATTCTGTGGGGGAAATTAAGGGATGAAACTTGCTTACCTAGGGAAATTGTGCGGTTATTCATGCATTGGTATAGCAATCAAAAGAATTTTGTTAGATGGGCCGGATCTCGCTCGGAGGAGTACAGGCTGGAATGCGGGGTGAGGCAGGGGGGGTTGACCTCTCCCACGCTCTTCAACCTGTACGTCGACCGATTGATCGATGAGCTCAGCAACACCGGCATCGGGTGTCATATAGATGGAGTGTGTGTGAATAATATCAGCTATGCAGACGATATGGTGCTGCTGAGCCCATCGATTGGTGCCTTGCGCGGGCTCCTGAAAATTTGCGAGTCCTACGCGGTGGCTCATGGGCTCAAATACAACGCGAAGAAAAGTGAAATAATGATTTTCAGACCAGATAACAAGCGTTACAATTTTGTTCCAAATTTCACTTTATGTGGCATAGCTCTGAACAAAGTCGAGCAATTTAAGTATTTGGGCCACTGGGTCACTGAGGACCTTAAGGATAGTGTGGATATTGAAAGGGAGCGTAGGGCGCTGTGTGTCCGGTGCAACATGTTGGCACGTAGGTTTGCACGGTGCACGGGGATTGTCAAAGTTGCGCTCTTTAAGGCGTATTGTCAGTCTTTTTACGCCTGCGGCCTGTGGGTTGACTTCACGCAGCGGACATACAGCGATCTGCGCGTTCAATATAATAACGCGTTCCGGGTGCTGATGGGGCTGCCGCGGCACTGCAGCGCTTCTGCGATGTTCGCGACTGCTAACACAGACGGCTTTCCAGCCATCATGCGCAAACGGTGCGCTTCAATCATGCGCCGCATGCGCGACAGTCCCAACGGCATCTTGTGCGCGCTGGCGGATCGGTGGGACTCTCCGATGCTGGCTCGCTGGATAAGGCTGCATGCAGTTGTATAGTGTTTTGCCACCATCATCGGGGAGTCCACCCGGACCCGCCACTACAAGTTAGTGCTCAATTAGATTAGACGTGATCAATAGTTATTATTATTACTAACACTAGTTTGTAAGCTCGCAATTGTACTAACACATATGGATGTAAATCTGAAATAAATGATTATTATTATTATTATTATTAATATTATTTAACCTTTTTTGCGATTTCAATTGTCTCAGCTATTTCCCCCTCGACTAAGAAAGTCATCAACGTAGAAGTCACGTCGTACAGCAGATTGGACACGCTTGTCCTCAATGTTATTCAAGTAAGTATTTATGAAAGATATGAATATCGTTTTTAAGTTAGCTATGCAAGTAAAGCTTCTTGTAGTGAAAAGTGTTCCTCCTTCTTTTTATTTTATGGTAAGTACTTTTTTTTTAATATTGATGGGCCGACGTTTGACCACTGTCCCGCCTGGTGGTAAGCGATGATGCGGTCTATGATGGAGCACGTCGTACTTAGGATAGTATATTGTAGGCTTCATTTTTAACCAACTTTAAAAAAAAAGAGATTCTCAATTGAACTTGTATGTATGTATATTTGTGCGCGGTTATCTCGTGATTGGTTTGGTGTAATAAGGTAAATTTTATAATCTTAAACATCTAAATTATACAAGTAACGCCATCTAGTTTTTCCTTGGGAAGGTAAACGTGCAGGATGTCATTTGTTAATCTGTGTTTATTTTCTCCCCGCTTCCTTGTCTTGAAATCGCAATTTTCTAAGTTTCTACAATAAATTACGTATCCAAAGGGTCCATCATTTATTTAAATGAAAACCAATCCCTTCAACATGGTTGAACCGATTTTGATGTGGGTTTTAGAAAGATATTTGTTACACTAAGGCCTTCTCCTTTTAGTTTATTAATTAACAGACTTCAAAAAAGTAGCTTAAGGTTAAACTAGTCGCGGGCTCGAACTCAATCAAGGGCGTGGCCAAAAAGCGCGCTGTCTCATCTAACATCGTGTGTGACAGAGATAGTACCAGTGATGAGCAGTTAGACGCTATCTATTTGCACGACGTATTGTTCGCACGCACACAAACACAGCAAAACGTCACTGAACGGTGCATATATCTGTGCTGTGTGTGTTTACTCGTAGTAAAGTCGTACACGCTGCTACGATTTTATGATGCTCGCATGAATTTAATAATTATTGTCACAGGGCATTGTAATTACTGACAATTTTTTTATGATATCAACTTATCATCCGATCCGAAGAATCCACGAAAGGCTAGGGATATAATTTTATATAATATTTTTTTTTCTAAGTACCAATAACTTTATGTACCTACTACAAACTAGCTAGATGCATCTTTTATCTAAATAATACAGTTCAAATGTCATATTTTCATCAGGTTATAATGTTTAACTAATATTATAGTTTGTTTGGTTGAACATAATAATCTCAGGAACTACCTACCTATTTAGGTAGGTACTTACTGGTCTGAATTATTTCCTGAATTTCGAGACAATTGATCTGTCATTATGTTTTCATAAAATTAAATATATACTTACCTAGTTAGGTACGTCGGTGACTACCTAAGATTACTAGAAGTAGTGATAATACCACATAATTAGATTTTCGTCATTTCGTCCGTAACAAAACTTGTGGACTTCATACCTACATCGTGTAGGTAGGTCCCTAACTCCAACTTCGTGTTAGGTACCTACAGACTTTTTGGCAGCTCGGAACGTAACATAAAGCTGCGCACTAGGTACCTCCCTGACACAAACATAAGTAGAGATACCGGCTCGAATCTTGAGCGCTCGGCATCAAAGTGGGTAGGTATACATTGGCGAGCTAATCACTGTAAAAGGATTTTTGGGAGAAGAATTGTAGGTAGCAACAATCCTTCTCACAATACCTACTACTAAAGAGACTTGATTTCTGCGCAATCTGAGTCAACGCTCAATATTCATGCCGGTATAGTATCTGTATTAGCAGCACAGGAGAGCGCCGCAAGGCTGGGTATAATTGCTAAGGGTTCACCCTTTTAGTTACTTACTTATTTATTATGCTTTTATTTATAGACAAAAAAAAACAATGAACCTGAAAAATCTTTATTGGTAATCGTAATATTTATTTAACATAATTATTGACATTGACTTAAAATCTATCTCTAAATGGTAATTTACGAGGGTAACGCGGATCTATCAGCTCCGGCAAAACACATTGGTGGTAAAATATATCTAATTTAGAAATTTTGTCTGGCGTCCAAAACTCATCATCTCTTTCAATTATATCTATTTCGATGCCATTTGGCGTCCAAACAACAAAATAACAAAACTTTCTTTTAGTTACCATCAGTTGGCCTTGTACCTGATAATAATAATTATGCGTTTTTTTCAACTGGATTCCATCAGCAGTTTCTACACAAAATTTAATTTAAACCGATAACTGTATCTAATAAAATCTAATTAGATAAGGTATAATAAATTGTAGGGACGACTTACCCATTGTTTATTATGTATTTTCCAATGACACTTGGAAATTCCAAGTGTCATGCAATCAACCAAAACAACTTCACTAAATCACGACAATTGCACGACAGCGCGTGTCGTGCAAATAATAATTGTGCAAAAAATTGTGCAAAAACGCGTGTGCGTCTTCCCTCCGCCCCGCGCCACTGCCGGGGGAGTTTTATCCAGTGAAATGCACGATAATCCATCACAAAACGAGTGCGTAAAAAAGTACGATTTAGTGCTTTAGAAAATAGCGTTTTTTGAAAAAACCACTGCTTAGATCAATTTCAAATAAATTTTATAGAACTTTATGGTAATTGTGCTGAGTCGGTACGGTCTTCGGTTTGGAGATTTTACACGATTAGTGGTATTTTTTAACACCCAAAGTTGCGTTAAAATTGTAAAGAAAAACAAAACTTTGTTGGCTCATAACTTTTTAGTAGTTTTTTTTTTATTTTTTTTGTTTCCGTACCGACAAATGTAATTACAAGATAAAACGATATCGTGTTTAATTTTGTAGGTACACATTCACACTGTCGAGTAATACCACCCCGAACTTTCTATGGAAAAGATATCGACTAGTGTAACCTTAATGTCGGTTTTTCAACATAGTTTATAAAATAATTATTCCTCAAGCAATCTGATAGTATTTGACATCAAGTCTAGCAACCAAAAAACCCAAAAACAATTCAAAATTATTATTATAAACGATTGGTTTTTAAGACATTTCTTCAACAGCCTATAAGTGCCCACTGCTGAGCAAAGCCTCTTCTCACACGGAGAATGTTTGAACATTAATTACCACGCTTGCTTAATGCGAGTTGGCGATTACAAACTTATAATTAGACATTACAAGCTCAGGTTTCCTCACCATGTTTTCCTTCACCGTTTGTCAGTGGTGTCTAGATCTTAGAAAGTACATATAACTTGGAAAAAGTCACATTGGTACTTGCCGTTGGTAGGTTTCAAACCCGCATCCTCATGCATGAGAAGAGGGCCTTAAACCTCCGGGCCACCACGACATTTTTCACAAGACACAACATTTTTAATACATTGACACGTAATATACAGGATTAATTATTACAGAAGCATAATAACACACAAGATTTTGTTTAAGTATTTATGCTCCCTAAGGTTGCAGATATTGCAGATGAACTCACCTCAATTTGATTCTTCAATTCATACATACTGGTCCTAGTCTTCAACGCAATACAATCCCCAAGTATATTCTTCCACTCCTGCGCATGGTCCTGTACCTGTTGTATCACAGGCCGTAAGTTGACCCTAATGGCTCCAATGTCCACAAACTTGACATGCTCATCTAAGTCATTAATAATGTCTTCGAAAAAGAAGAATTTCTCATCATATTTGAAAATTTGGTCGAATTTCTGTACGTACTTCTCGCATGATAAGTGCTTGTCGTAGGACCAGAGGTGGGCATACTTGTGCCACCTAAAAATATATGTTTATCCATTATTAGCTTCTGCCTTCGACTGCGCCCAAATTGTCGTGGGATAAATAGCCTATGTAGAATAATATATACATATATTATTTCCAGATCATATTCTATCGACTATCGACTAACGACGAACGACTGCATGGTTGGTGCGGTGACTGGGCAACTGCCGTACAACGTGTCGCGGGTTCGATTCCCTCAAGGAACAACTCTTTGTGTGATCCACACAGTGTTGTTCCGGGTCTGGGTGTCATGTACGTATGTAAACTTGTATGTTTGTACACGCACGTCCACGACACAGGAGAAAATCGTAGTGTGGGGCAAAGTTTTTTTTTTAATCTCTTTTCCAAATTTCAACCTGATCCCTTCAGTTGATTTGGCGTGATTGAGTAACTATAATATGCACATTAACACACAAACTTACAAACTTTTACACTTATAATATTAGTAAGATATACAGATCAATTGTAAACGCATTCAAATCTCGCATGAGATGACATCCATTCCATGGAGGATCATATTTCTGATTTCTGAGGATTTGTCCACAGGTAAGGAGAAGAAGATCTTCTCTTTTCTCTTCTTTCTTCTCTATTCTCTTTGGAAATTAAAGTCTGTGACGATTTGTAATCCTGAAGTACTACATACATCCTGTTAATATTACAAATGCGTATTTGTTACATTGTTTGTTACTTCTTTACGCCAAAACTGCAAAAGTGATCAACATAAAATTCCGAATAGGAGTAGATTATGATCTGGAACAACATATATCCACTTTTTGGCCCACGGGGGCGAAGCCACTGGAAAAAGCTAGTGTTACATACGTCTAAAGTCTACGACCAAAACAACATATTCTACTGTGGCGACACATGTTACATGTCAATGGATGACGTCACAAAAATCCTACATCGCACATGCAAAGTTTACAAACGAAAATCCCAACGAACAACTGTTGGGCAGAAAGCCTGCCAGGCACGATCACCTCCGCCTGGTCGGGGGATCCTCCTTTTCCGATCTTAGGGAACTATACTCTCTGTTACCTAAACTACTAGGTACTAAATATAATAAAACTAAACGTACTTGACAATATAAGTATAAATATCGGAAGTCAGTCTGAAGATGGTGTCCTGTATGAGTAGCGTAATGTCATTGATGGCCGCCACCCGGAGTATATCTTCAAAGAAGGAGAATGTGTAGAACTCATTGCCTGTCGCCTCCTCTATGCGCTGTGGAGGACACGGGAGGCAGGTCTTCTTCATCCACCGAGGGAATGTTGTTAACCTGGGTTGTATAAGACAGATTGAAAAGAATAATAATGGTGAATTAATCATGAATGGTGACCAAAAATAGGTGCATTGTCCATGTTCAATCTCTGTTCTTCCACAATTATGAACATATCAAAATGATTTCAGATAAAGTAACCTCTTTCAGGAAGCCCTATCATGCCTCAAAAATATGTAATATTTGTAAAAAGGATTTACATAAGTATATTTTTATCGAATCAGAGACATCATGATTCGCATTTATGTACAGACAGCCGGTTACCTTAATACAATCTGATTTTCTTTAACACGTTTTTTATTAACTTTAAGCCACAAGTCGAAAATTTCTAAGGCAAACATTAGAGTGGCTTTTAATCTTGGTTTTTATTGTACTTTATCTAAACAGACGACAATGACATCATAGAATACGGTATCATAAGCATCATAGGGTAGATGATAATGACATCATTATCATTGAAAATAACGAACGTACCTGTTAAGAAAATGTTTGACATCGTATCCCAGTATATTGCAGACCTCGGTCTGTGTCGGCCGCATGGCAATGTCAGGAGGCACTAGTATGGCGTCCACTTGGAACATCGGAACCTTCTCACTCAACATTTGCTGGAAGTCCTCCAAGTTCTCTAGTGTTAATCTAGAAGATAAGCAAAAAGTGAAAATTATTATTATTATAATCTGATTTGACTTTGAACCTAACATAAAATAATGCTATTTATTCTTCGAGTGAGTAAGTAGAGATGCACTGTCACATTGAATATAACAGTAATTCTCTATTAGGTAATTACACAAAAATTTATGTTTTTTTTACTGAAAGTTTTCGAAAACCGAAAATTCTAATTGATTTTTTAAACTTCTCGCTTAACGTTCGTAGCTAACTACCATTCAAATTAATATCACGCCTTTTATCTCCGAAGGGGTAGGCACATAATAACGGCACATAATGCCACAAAGAACACCCACTTTTTAGTATTTATGTTATGAGTCCCATGTAATAGGGGGTGAGCCTATTGCCATATACTGGGTACAATTCCAGACTCCGTATTACAACTGAGATTAAAAAAAAATCTAATAATACTTTGCGCAACCCTGGAATCGGACCCGGGAATCGAACGCGAGACCCCTTGCCTAGCAGTCGCATTTGGGGCTACTCGATCAAGGACGCAATCAGTAAAGAACAAAATTACCTACATATACCAAATTCCTACCTGACAAGACACAAAAAGATCTTCCTCTCCCAGTGCGTATAGTAGGCAGTCATAACAGGCGAGGTGCCGGTGCTGGTGCCAAGTATCAGATACTCCAGCTTCATCAGTATAGGACCGATGCGGTCGTAGATACGGGAGAGAGCTGCTATGCGCTCTAGGCGCTCGTTTTCAACTTCCACGAAGTACGCCTGAGTGATGAGAAGGATTTTATGAAGGTATTTTAAACTGTCATACACCAAGCGGTCACCGGTGACCGCAACCTATTGTTCTATAATAGTGTCTACAAAACCGGTACTCAATGAGTTAATGGGGTAAAATGTTAGTTTTATTTTGGCTAGTATAAAGCTGTTGTCGCCAACCCGCAATGAACAAGCGTGGTGATTAACTTCTGGTATGCCGAGGACGTACATATACGCGAGACACAATGTGTTTTCTATTATGTCTCATATACTGGCAGATAAGGGGTTAATGCTCAAACCTTCTCCGTGTGAGAAGAGGCTTTACTAAGCAGTGTAAGTGTGATAAACGCTGTTGTAAAACGAGAAAAAACCTAAAAAAAAACTAGCCAAAACACAACTGGACCGTTTCAGATACATTTGACGTTTTTTTCATTAGTTCAATTCAATTCAATTGACAAAAAGCCATTGGGGTCATTACCATGTCGATATGTCACGCAACTTATGGAACATTGAGCAATAAGTAACTTCTTTTATAATTCCCTTTATTTTTTACAGTAATTTGTACAGTTGAGAAAAATCTTTATTGAAAATCAAAGTCCTGAGAACGAGAGAGAAGTGTAATAACATGAAAATACTAGATTTATATTTTTATAATATTTTTAAAGGATGATGCTATGTATCTTATGTGTCTTTAACATTCACGGGACCACAAGGTCCCGGTCATTTGAAAGGCGAACGAGGGCCCGAAGTCAACTGCGCAGAGGCCCTTCAGACAACATTAATCTAAACGTAATGGACACACAAACTGGCGACTATCCATACAGACTATGGAAATGCACCCAAGGACAGTCCCCGGTTAGTGAAGAACTATTGTAGATAATAGAAAAAAGGTAGGGCTATGGATGGGTTGCTGTGGAGTGGTAAATTGCGAACTATGGATGACTATGGCACCTGCCGAAACAATGTAATTATTACACGTAAAAATGGCAGGCGGAGAGTCGCCAATTCACGGACCGGGCCCCGGGAATGGGTATTTTTATTATTTTTTTTTAATTTTGTTACAACTAAGTTAAAAGTGTGGTGCTATTACCTTACAAGGATAAAGCCACGTGGAGTCAGGTTCGCCAGTCTTAGGGTCCAGGTAGTTCTGCGGCTTCAACAGTGGGAACAGGTCAAAGGCTTCTAGTTGGTCTATTAAGAACTGGACCTCCTTTTCCACCATCTTCAGTTGCTTGTATACAGCTTGTAGGGAATTTTCACCTGGATTGTTGATGACGAGAACACAAGTAGAAAGAAGTGTTTCAAAAAAAAGTATGACAATAAGATATTTTTGGAATTATGTCGCTAGTGATTTTAGGGTTAGCACGGTGGCTGGGCAACTGGCTGCCGCGCGATGTGTAGCGGGTTCGATTTCCGCACGGAATAACTCTTTGTGTGATCCAAAATTTTGCTCCGGATCTGGGTGTCATGTGTATGTGAACTTGTATGTTTGTAAACGCACACACGACACAGGAGAAAATCCTAGTGAGGGAAGATCTTAACGGGTTGCCGGGGCTCCGGCTCGAAGTGCAGGAGTAGGAACGGGGTGGTTTTTAGTCAGTAAGAGTCTGACACTCCCTCTCGCCTCACCCGGGCGGGAGAAGTCATTGGATTATTTTCCCCCCTCAAAAAAAAGGATAGTTAGAAGATGTGAGAACAATTTTATTCTGAACTTCAATAATCGCGATTAACGATGATGAATATGATGACGCCAAGTTAAGATGCTCTCTGTTTCTCACATTATCTTTGCCTATGTTAATGGCACTTAGACGCAACGACATCTTTGTAGGATAATAATAAGACAACGGCAAAATGGTGATTACTTGAAAAATGATTTTTGAAATGACGAATTAAGCAAATTAAAAGAAATATTGTTCCAATAATTACATGTAAACCGTGTAACTATTTGAGTGTGGGAGAGCCATGCTTCGGTATTTCGATAAAAAATTACAACCTTCGGTACGAATGTGCCGCCGGCTCGACCGGAGTGATACCACGGCCGAGCAGGAAACTGACGTGAAACAACTTGTGTTGTGCTTCGTGTTGTGAGTGCGGTTACGGTTACCGGATGCCCAATTACCCCCCTCCCCAGTCTCCCCAATCCCCGAATCCTCCACAATCCTCAAATTCCCAATTCCCAAAAGGCCGGTAACCCACTTCTAACGCCTTGGTGATTCAGGTATCCATGGGCGGCGCCGATTGCTTACCATCAGGTGATCTGACTGCTCGTTTATCGGATTGTGACAAACCTTTAGTAATATCCTTGATATAGTCCCCAATACCGAGTGCAGTCCATGTAACTCTAGTCAAACCAGGCAGTATATGTCGCTCCATATCCAAGAAGTGTTTCTTCATGAGATGTGTCTCAGACCGGCTTAAAGCTGATGTGTTCTTATTGTACTTGGCTATGACACTCTCGAGTGCTTCTAACTCATAGTATAGTCTGGCTTTCTGCATTGCCACGTCACGGATAGTTGAGGGGAGGTCGTAGCCTGGAGAAACGTGAAATTGTATACTAAAATATTTAAATGATACTTTTAAAGTACCTAATTGATTAATTTGTGCATTCAGAACAATACAGACACCAAATTATTCAGCTGACTTTTAAAATGAAACATACGATCAATTAGCTCGCATTTTTTATTCGAAGATTGAAGACATCAACAACGCCTAAATACTGCAAAGGTGTTTTATATATATTTTTAAAATATTTTATTTTTAATATTGTCGGCGCATTAGTATGGCCATCGACCATAGAGGCGGCGACGCGCGGGACGGGGTATAAAAACCCACGGCCGCGCGAGCGCCGCGCTTCTTCTTCATCGACACACGCCAGCCATAGCATTCGGGCATTTCTTTGTATCGGTGCGAGCCGGTCTTGATTCTGATATGTAATAATTAAACCTATTAATTATGCAGTCTTCTGTTTTAATTTGAAATAACCCGACAGAGCTACGACAATTGATCCGGCTCGAAGGACCAATTGCCGGCCGTGGGTTTTTATACCCCGTCCCGCGCGTCGCCGCCTCTATGGTCGATGGCCATACTAATGCGCCGACAATATACTGAGAAAAGCTCTACTAGTTTCGAACCACAGAGGTGAATGAGCTGCGGCATCGCTGGGACCGGCTGCTCATGAGGAAGAATCCCTCTGTGGTTCGAAACTAGTAGAGAATTTCTCGGTATATTCACGTGAGTAACCCGCAATTTTAGTTAATTTAGTGTTTTATTTGTGACAAAATTATTTTCTAACATTTAAAGTTAACAAAGTTTTGACATAACAGCGCACAATAGCTTTTATGATGCATTGTAGTTGTCGACTTAATTTTGGTAAATAGTGCAAATGAAATAAAACCTTACGTAGTGCGAAATAGAGTTGATTTTCCCGAAAACTTACCAAGTTGTTCCAAGAGTTCAGCCTCATGAATAATCAGGAATATATGTTTATTGAAGTTTGGTTGGAAGGTAAGTTGGTACTCCTGCATCAGTTTGTGTACCGTCAAGTCGCGCCAGGTTACATCCGTCTAGGTAGGATAGATATAATAAATGTACTGTTAGAAGCATAGACAAAAAGAAACGAAACGTCATCGCTTAGCTGGAAAATGTAATCTGTGGTTCGAACAATGAAAAAGTCAAGATGGCGGGAACTCGGAAGTTATTGAGATGGCGTATTTGGTGTTGAGGGAATTTTATTCTATTTGGAAGTCAATTTGCCTATTTATATGTTGTTTTTCTTTCCAATTAATAGTTATGGTTTCGCTAGACCTGAATTCGTAATTTGATTTCGATGTTAACAATATACGATGCATTGTAGTGGTGGTACTCTTTATTTTTTCTGCCTTCTGAGTTTCTATAATCCTATGTGGTTTAAAACCAATAAGTTTCTAATATCAAAGAGTAAGGTGAACTCTATGACAGTTTTTAAGTTTTCTAATAGTACGTATTTTTAGACAAAGTAGGTACAGATGTTCGTTAAGCTTTTATAATAGGGGGAAAGTATTTAAAACATGATCAAAAGCATTGAAAATCAAATAAAATGAGGATTAGCTTTAAACGTTTTCATTCGCAACCTTAACTGAGAGGCCAAGACATACATACCAATCCTTCTTTAGCCAGTAGAGACGTGGAGCTGGGTGATCTAACATTCTCATAATGTTGGCCGGGTATCCTCATTAGCATTACTGAAATTATTTTTTATATATTATTATATTATTATATTTTATGATGGCCGAAGAACGATAAGGGCGTCCAAAGAGTTAACTTTAGGTACTATTTATTTTTAAAAATTTTTGGAAAATGGTAACATTATAATTTAATCTGTTTTATCTATGGTCAAAGTGACGACACAAAAAGAAAACGAATCTCCCTCCTAACCTAGTACCTCGAATTATTCCCTCAAATAACTGAAATAAATTATTTGATACAACTACCTTTTGTTGAGGGAAACAACCATTACTTTTGACGATATAAAAGTTGGAATTAATTTACGTTTATGCGAGTTCGTGGGGAACTTTGGTCATTTGTAAAATTGCATTTTTATGTTTCTTTATTTAGCTTTTATGTTGAAATATATAAGTAGAATTATTATTTTATAAGCAATGGTTATGGGACAAAACTGTATTGTGCTCAACTAATATCTGCGGCTGAGTTTAGATTTTCTAGTCTTTTGACACATATCATTTTACTAGCCTGTACTTCCAAATAACGAGAAGAATGATAGAGAAGAAGCGATAGATGATAGTTTTTTACAAAAAAGTTAAGATTATGCCCTACTTTCCCTAGCATAAAGTTATTGTTCAATTAGCGACCCGCCCCGGCTTCGCACGGGTGCAATATGCATTATTACACATATGTATAAGTCATCCTTAAGACTCTTATCTATTAAAGAAAACTGCATCACAATCCGTTGCGTAGTTATAAAGATCTAAGCATACATAGGGACAGACAGACGGCGGATTGCGACTTTGTTTTATACTGTGTAGTGAAGAGCAGATTTAACAAAAGGTCTTATTTACATATTAGTCCTTCATAACTTTAAATTCATACTCACAAGCCTTATCCCTTCGTCGTTTGTCAGCTAACTCCTTATTAACAATATCAACTGGTTGTAGCGACACAGTAGACCCAGCCGCCTTCTTCTTGCGTTCCACGTGTGCTTTCCCCGCGGCCGTCAGTTCCATGCCACGACCCGTGGTAGTAGCGGCTACCACTGCTAAAATTATAAGGTAATTATATTCATTATAAAGGTGACTTTATGTATAAACTAGCTTCTGCCCGCGACTTCGTACGCGCAATCCCGATATTTCCCGTAGCCGTTCTTGATTTTCGGTTAAAAGTAAAAAATAAGTATTGGGTAAAAAGTATCCTATGTCCGTCTCCTGGTTCTAAGCTACATCCTCACCAATTTTCATCAAAATCGATATAGCTGTTCTTGAGTTATAAATAGTGTAACTAACACGACTTTCTTTTATATATATAGATGAGTGCAATTATAGACTGGGTAGAATATGTTTTAGAATTCTTAAAAAAAACTTCGACATTTAAGTCTTAATATTTGATTCGGTAATGTTTGGACTATATAGCAATAAATGTGATTTGGTATTTTAAAATTAAAAAGTGATACATTTATGAATGTATAAATGCATGCATAATCTTACCGTCCTCTTCATCGTTAGCTTGTAAAACAAAAAAATTACAACAT